GATGATATCATGAACTTAAGTTAACCAATTCCATAAAGTGACTTAATTTTTCCCAGACTACATACATGAAACGCCATGTTATGTTAAAATATCATGTTTGCTTTTTTGTAATGCTAAGACTTAAAACTACTTCACTGAAATGTATTCATTTTATAATATAATTTTATGATTATTCGTTAATGGATGAGAACAGAAGTATGGCTATACGAAAGTATTTTCAGTTTGATTTTGGGTTACTGTTTTCCCAGTAGCAACCTATAACTGAATATATTTCAGGTTTTTTGCCTGTAAACACAAATTTTAATTTGCCATCCTATTTTTTTTCAGTTGTATTGAGATATAATTAACATACAGCATGGTATAAGTTTAAGGTGTGCAGCACGAGTTGACATAAAACAGCAAGTTCATACTGTACAGCACAGGGAACTATATTCAGTATCTTACAGTAACCTATGGTGAAAAGACTATGGAAACAAATATATCGTACGTTCCTATATGAGTGAAGTATTGTGCTGTACACCAGAAATTGACCCAACATTGTAAGCTGACTATACTTCAATAAAAATATTTTTTAAAAAACCAATGAGTTGACAAACGTATACAGCTGACCCTTGAACAACACCTGTTTGAGCTGCGTGGGCCCACTTATACACAAATCTCTTTCACTAAGTATGTACTGCAGTACTGCACCATCCGCGGTTGGTTGAATCCCCGACTGTTGGACCGCGGATATGGAGGGCTGACTATAAAGTTAAGCATGGATTTTCGACGGCACAGCAGGTCAGGGCCCCTTACTGCTGTGTTGTTCAAGGGCCAGATGTGCTGCGAAATGATGACCACAGTAAGTTTAGTTAACACCCATCACCTCATATAGTTACATTTTTTTCCTTTTGATAACTTAGGATTTAGTCGCTTAGCAACTTTCAAATACATCACACAAAAGCAGTATCTATAGTCATCATGTGGTGCGTGACGTGCTGTTTATTTCTAATGAGCCGTAACCACGATATTACCGTTCACATACATACAATTTTTATATTATTCCAATCATTTTTGTCATTACCTTATGTAATCTTTCCAACAAGGGTTGAGTAGCTTAACATTACACCTTTCCCTGTAAAACCTAGATATCTATTTATTGGCTTTCTAAGAAATTTCTAATCTTCAGTTTCTTACCTATAAACTCCATGGCCCATCCCCACCCATATCAGAGAAATGAATTTTTTTGGTATGATTGTAAGGTTTTGAAATCACCCAATCTCTCCTTTACTTTATAGATAAATGATGTCAATGGCAAATGGGGGGAGAGTAGAATTGATTACCTTTTTGGTCTTTGCTGCTCCTGCGGCAAGTCCTCTCACTCATTCTCTTTGTACTTTATTCACCTAAAAAGAATAGTCATATCTGAAATCCTGGAAATCACTGCCCACTGTTAGCCCAGAAAAGACTAACATATATCTTAGCTTTCAGCTCAGTTTAATTCATGTTCTCCTTTCTTTCAGAGATGTCTTCTTTGGACCAAAGATCTCTTTTGTGATTCCTTGCAACCGTCAGTGAGAATCTTCATGTATTCCGGAGACCACCCCACCTAATTTCCCACAAGCTGCACTCTAACAGCATAACTCTATTTCTGGTTTCTATGCAGTGCAATAAAGCAGATTCTATAAATTCTTACTTGTCTATGACAAGTAAACTTGTGTTAAATAAGCAGTAATAAAAATTCAACTCAATTTTTCTCTGTGGATGTTGTTTAAAATTTTTGACTAGAAAACTTTCATCTGCAGGGTGTTCACTTTGCTCAGTAAGAGTTCTTTCTGTCCCCTAGGTGAAGAGTCATAAACCTGGCTCAAAAATTGAGAATACTTTCAGTTCTTAATTGACAGTTCTTGACCATGTATACTTAATGAAAAGAACCAGGTAAAACTGAATTCTTGGAAGGGAAACTAGAAGTCTTCCAGTAAATGGGGAAAAGGGAGCGAATATTTGTGTATATAGTACGTGTGCCAAATACTTTAAGCACATTTGCATTTTGCTCCTTAAAAAACAACAAAAACTTTCAAGGTAATTATTCTTAAACCCACTTTTCAGATGCAAATTCAAGTTTAAGATATTTGCTAAAAATCAAGACAGAATTTGAACAGAGTTCAAATTCCAAAACATTCACAGACATAGCTGTATCCTTAAAACTACGCTACACACCCCTGGTGTATCCATTTTTCCTGGGAATACAAAACACACATTTAATAAAACCATGTAATGGATGAGAATTAAAGTTACGTGAATTTTAAAGGCAAATAGAAGAGATGACTTCAAAGGTATTTTCTGGTGTTAGAGGCAATTTTGGACTATGCCCCATACCTTAGGAGGTATGCATTGACTGGTAGCCAGAAGAAGTAACTTTAGAAGGTCCCTCATGCTATAAAAATTTATTAAATACTTCCTAAGTACCAACTATTATTAAGATTTGGGGATGTAATAATGCATAAGATAGACTTCTTTTCCTGGAATTTGTATTCTAACAGAAGTGTAATGATTACAAACAAATAATTATTTGTAAGTGTGACACCTGCTACTACAAAGCAGTTGTGTAGAGAGCTATACAAAGTATTGCTCTGGGGATACATCTGAGAAGCACCTAGGTGCTAACTCTAGAAGACAATCATTTTGCGAATTAAAGTGACATTATTTCATGGAAATACATTCTTGGAGGTCCCTGATCTGTTTCTGAAGACCACATCCAGAACAGTATCTGGTATCTATTCGATGTTCAATAGGTGTTGCTGAGCTGAACCAAACAATTTTAAGGCAATCAGAATTCAGTTCCACTTAAAATCTGCAAAAACCTAAGTCAGAACATGTTTTCAAATAGTATGACCTCTGAAAAAAGCATGAAGAAGTGGAATTGTTTAAAAAAAACTCAAACATATAGTTTTATCAACATAGCATGTGATTTGATTGGCCTTTTTTTTTCTTTCACTAAATTGGTATTGAAAATCAAACTTACTCAATAATAGAAGTCATAAAAAATAAATAGAAATAAATAAATAATAGAAGTTATATCCTTTCTGGAACAGTACACAGAATAGGTAAATAAAGAAAATCACCAGTAAATTTGTTTCATTTTCTACTTGCATAGAGTCTCTTTGAAGGAGAGAAAAAAAAGGAAATCAGTCATGGCTTTTCAGTAAGTAGTCCCTGCAATCAAAACCTGATGAGAAAAATAACATTTGAACGAAAGCTAAATATTTAATAACTGGGAGTTTGTAGATTATTACAATTATTCTTCATCATATTCTCTTCTTTCTGGGAACAGCTTTGTAATATTAAATTATATTACATTCTTTTGGAAATGAATACATTATAGAAGCACACATTCTTTTTTATATAACCCAAGAAATACAAAAACATGAATGTTCACACAACTTACCTTATGCAATTTTTCCTGACTTGGTTAATATGTTTTTAAAAGCAAACATTTCATTCAATGATCCAATGAATAGATCTTTTATTTTTTTCAATAGATTTAGCTATGAGAAAAGACAACTAAGCTTTTATTAAAAATTTGCGATTGTTCTAAATGTACTATCATGACCCCTGCTCTATGGACAAAAATGCCAAGGATTACTGATTCAGTAGCTCATCTAAAGTTGCATTATCAGAGCAACAGAACTGGGTTTTGAATACGGCCAGTTCTCCTCTAGCATCTAGAGTCCTAACAACTGCATTACCTAACAGCATCATCTAATCTGTTTCTTTTTTAGGAAAGCAAACTTTTACTTGTATGGAACATACAGCTGTACATTTCAGATAACTCACATATGCTAGATGCTTACTGAATAACAATTTCTGTCTTTTTATCTTTGGCTTTCTATATTTTTGTTCTTACGATAAATTCCATGATGCTGAGCACAAAGTTAATAGTAATACTTACTAATAGCTCATCTCTTTTTGATAAAAATTAGGGGCTCCTTGAATATTTTTGTTTGCTGGGATTAGGCGCTAATCCTAAAGGATTATTGGATAACTGGAAGCAACACGGAGAAACAGAACAGTCAGCAACAGCTCTTGGAGGAAGATGAGGACAGATAAGAACATTCACAGAGCACTCTACAACTTTAACTTCCTTACAATTGCCCACAGGTACACATGAATTCTTTCCATAATAAATAGTTTTTGCAAAATATTATGACCAGTACTTTTAAAATATAAATAATCTTATCAGTAAAACACTATAGGCTTTACAATAATTTTCCTACAAGGAAAAAAATGATCAAATTCATATATTTCTAAATCATATTGCATCAACAGCCTAAACCTAAACTTGTCTCTCAAACAATTGAAGAGAAACTGATACTGGAAAAGTATAGTAAATTGACATTGAATTAGCTTCCTCAATTTACTTCTATAGAATGGAGTCACCAAAATGTGGTCATCTTTGTATAGTGGTACCTAGAGAGAAATGTGTGACATACATGTAGTCAATATATGCTAAGAATTTTACAAATAAAAACCTGTATTAAATTTTCAACAGAAAAAGTGTATGTGATCTATATTTCCAGACTTTGAGAAGTGAAAATATAAGTGTGGGTATTATGGGTATAAAACTGACTTGATGTCTAGTTTAAATATACATTAAAGGAAATACACACACATGCTTTCACATATATGTGCTTTCACATAGCAATTAATATGATTATTATTTAAGAACTAGTAGCTGACCATGTAGACTATAAATGCATCTAGGACATGACACATATAATAAAGTTTATAGTATCAGTTTTTACCTAGAAAGAAATATAAGGAATTTCATAATCCCAAAGGAATGAATTCTATAGTAAACAGTACACACATTTGAAAAAATTTATATATATGACATTTCTTGACATTTTTAAACTAATTCATTAAATGAATAAGCAATGACATGACAAAAACTTTTGAACCACCATCACTTGCCTAGATATAATAATCTGAATTTTGCTATCAAAAATACGTAAATTCATGCAAATAGCAGCCAAAAGAGAGCTGGGATGGCTGTACTAATGCCAGACAGGACAGATTTTAAATTAAAAAACTGTTATAAGAGACAAGGAAAGATATTTTATATTGTTAAAAGGGTCAATCCACAAGTTGTAAAAAATTATAAACACACGTGCACCAAACAACAGAGCCAGAAAACATATTAAGCAAACATTGGCTGACCTGAAAGGAGAAATAGGCAGTTCTACAATAATGGTTTGAGATCCCAATATCTCACTTTAAATTATGGATAGACTTTAAGTTATTGATAGACAGAAGATTAAAAAGGAAACAGAGGAATTGAACAATACTTTAAACCAACTAGACCTAACAGTAATATACAGAATACCCCACCCAAGGACAGCAGAATACACATTCTTCTCAAATGCACATGGAACATTCTTCAGGGTAGACTATATGGTAGCCCATAAAACAATTTTCCATAAATTAAAAAAAATTGGAATCATGCAAACTATCTTAACAATGGACTTAAGCTAGAAATCAATAACAGAAGAAACATGGAAAATGCACAAATCTGTGGAAATTAAACAGTGCATCTTTAACAACCAATAAGTCAAAGAAACAACTAGGGAAATTAGAATATACTTTGAGATGAATGAAATCAAAAAATAAGACACCAACATTTATGGGATGCCGCAAAAGAAATACTCAGAGGGAAATTTATAGCTGTAAATATATACATTAATAAAAAAGAAAGATCTCAAATCAACAACTGAAATTTATGCCTTAAGAAACTAGAAAAAGATCAAACTTAGTCCAAACCAGTTAAGAAAATAATAAAGAGTAGAGCATAAATAAATTAAAGGATAGAAAAGAGAGAATTAATGAAACCAAATTAAATATCACTAAAACTGACAGACCCTTAGCTAGACTACTGAAAAATAAAGAGAGAAAGTATATATAACTAAAATTACAAATAAAAGCAGGGACATTACTATTAGCCTTACAGAAATTAAAAGTATTATAAAAGAATGTTATGAACAACTGTATGACAACAAATCGAATAATCTAGATGAAATGAACAAATTCCTAGAAACACACAAATTATCAAAGCTGACTCAAGAATAAATAGAAAACCTCTACTGCCCTATAATAAGTAAAGAGACTGAATCAATAACTCAAAAATCTTCCATGAAAGAAAAGTTCCAGACCAGATGGCTTCAGTAGTGAATTCAAACTTTTAAAGAGAAATTAACATCAACCCTACTCAAATTTTTCCAAAAAATACAAGGGAACACTTTCTAACACATTCTATGAGGCCAGCATTATCCTGAGACCAAAATCAGATAAACACAGTAGCAGAAAAATTAGACTGATATCCCTTATGAATATAGACATAAAAGTCTTCAACAAATACTAACAAACCAAAACCAATAGCACATTAAAAGGATTATACATCATGACCAAGTGATATTTATCCCAGGAATGCAAGGGTGGTTCAACAAAAGAAAATAATTGAATGTAATGTACTATATTAATAAAACAAAGGGGGGAAGAAAAATCATGATTACTTCAATAGTTATAGAAAGAGTACTTGATACCCTTTCATGATACAAAATACTCATCAAACTAACAATAATATAATAAGGAGCATTTTTGATATATCCACAATTAACATCATACTCAGTGGTGAAAGACTGAAAGCTCTCTTCATAAGAAAAAGAACAAGACAAGGATGCCCATTTCCATCACTGCTCTTCAACGTTGAACTTTAAGTCCTAGCCAGAGCAATTTAGCAAAAATAAATAAATAAATAATTAAATATCCAATTTTAAAAAAGGAAGAAGTAAAATTATCTCTATTTAATGATTACAAGATTCTACATATAGAAAAATCTCATAAAATCCACAGAAATACTGCTAGAGCTAATAAATGAATTCAGCACAGGTGCAGGGTCAACAAACAAAAATCAGTTTTCTATGCAACAGTAAGGAACAATCCAAAAAGAAAGTAAAAAACAATTCCATTTTAATAGCATCAAAAATAAAATATCATGAATAAATTTAACCAAAGAGGTGAAAGATTTGCACAATGAAAACTATAAAACATTAAAGAAAGAAATGGAAGAACTAAAATTAATGGAAAGATATTCCATGTTCATGGATTGGCATTCTTAACATTGTTAAGATGACAACTGTTAAACGATCTACAGATTTAGTATAATTCTCATCAAATTCCAATGGTCTTTTTTTACAGAAATGGAAAATCCAACCTATCCTCAAATTCACATGGAACCACAAGGGGCCCCAAATATCCTAAACAATATTAAGAAAGAAAAACAAAGTGCGAGGACTCACATTTCCTGATTTTAAAACTTACAAGGCTACAGTAGTCAAAAAAGTATAATACAGGCGTAAGAATAGAAATATTGACCAAAGGAATAGAATTAAGGGTATAGAAGTAAACTCAAACATCTATAGTAAACTGATTTTTGACAAGGGTGCCAAAATCCTTCAGTGGGGAAAGAATACTCTCTTCAACAAATTGTGCTGGAGCAATTAGATAACCCCATTCACAAGAATGAAGCTGGAATTCTACCACACTCCATCTACAAAAAATTGACTCAAAATGAGTCAACGACCTAAATTTAAGAGCTAAAACTATAAAATTCCTAGAAAAAACACACGGGTTAATCTTTATGTTGGATTTGACAATGGAATCTTAGACTTGACACCAAAAGTATGAGAAACAAACAAGTAGTACTAAATAAAAATTAAAACTTTCATGCATCAAAGAACATTAAGAAGGTGAAAAGGCAATATACAGAATGGGAGAAAATATTTGTAAATCATATATTGGATACAGAGTTAATATCCAGAATAAAGAACTCAACAAGAAGAAACCACCCAATTTAAAAATGAACAAAGGGCTTGAAACGCAAATCAAAACCACAATGAGATACCACTTCACATCCAGTAGATTGGCTTTAATTAAAAAACAAAACAAAAAAGAAAGACAAGTATTAGCGATTTGGAGAAATAGGAATTCTTGTACATTGTTGTTGGAACATAGAATGATACAGCCACTATGGAAAAGTTCGGCAGTTCCTCAAAACATTATAGAATTACCATGTGACTCAGCAACTCCACTCCTAGATACATATTCAAGAGAAATGAAGACATGTCCACACAGAAATTTGTACACAAATGTTTATAGTAGCGTCATTCATAATAGCCAAAGGTGGAAATTCAAATGTCCAAATGTTCATCAATGGATGAATGGAAAAGCAAATTGTGATGCACAGATACACACACACACAGGAATGTTATTCGGCAAAAAATGGAACTAAGTACTAATATATGGTATAACTTGAACCTTGAAAACGCACTAAGTAAAAAAAAAAAAAAAAAGAAATCCAGACACAAAAAGACATACATTGTATATTCCCTTTTTATGATATATCCATAATAGGCAAATCCATAGAGACAGAAAGCAGATTAGAGGTTATTAGGCTATAGAAGGAGGGAGGAATTGGGGGTGATTATGTATGGGTGTTTCTCTGGGGTGATCAAAAAGCTTCCAAGTTACAGCTGTGGTTGCACAACATAGTGAATACCCTAAATATCACCAAATTGTACACTTTAAAGTGGTTAATGGTGTATTTCACCTCATTTTAAAAAACTATGTAGAAATAATATGGAGTTTGTTTCCTTAAAGAAATAATTTCAGCATTAATTTTTAGCCTTTTTCTAAATTACTCAGCAAAAGGCAGTTACCAGATAACTGACTTATTTCTTGAGTTCCTGCTACATTCTATCCAAGTGGCAGTCAAATCCGGATTCTTTTCCTGATCTTCTAACATGAAAAGTAACCCACATTCTTAAGATATCAGGTTCCATTTACTTGTTCTTGTTCAGATATAGGTAAGTAAAAAAGATATCTGGTAAATTTGTAATTTAAAAAACCCAATAGGAAGGAATTAAAATTTTTATATACAACTTTACATTGCTGCTTCTTGAGTCTCTCAACTTTGGTGAGGCTCTTCAGTTTTCAATTTTACATGTTTACATTGCTCTAACAAGGATCTAATTTCATTGGATAACCAACACTCAGAACTCTTTTCACTTTTTATACAACTACATTTCAGGCAAATAATCAGTTGTATGAAACTAACATTGCTAGTGAAAAGTTATATTAATAAACAGACACTTGAATGTCAGCAAGTAACGTCAAGATTTTTTCACAAGAATGGAGTATGGTTTCATAGGAAAAAATAAGCCTACAGTCAAGTTTTTATTTAGAAACTAAATCTTCAAATGTTTAGGTAAAAAAGTATAGAAGTCATACTTTCTTCAAATAAACCACCACATCTTATAGCTATGTGGTTCATTTTTAAACAGCTAAGAAAAAACTTCTCATGGAGATTTCTGGAACACTGGAAATAGAGGTTTCTGTAATACCAATTATTACAGCCTCTGCTCATCAATAAGGTAGCAAGTGAATCTTCAAATGGTTGTAGCAAGAACAAAGACCAGCAGCTTCACTGTTCACCATATTTTCTAGTTTTCAGTACACCCAGAACATGTTAAAATACACAGACTCAGACTCACCTCCTACTGAACCAGTATGTTCTTTAGATTTAGCTACACAGTGGTTCCCAATTAGGGGTGACTTTGTCCCTCACTGGCAGACATATGACAATGTCTAGAGATACTTTTGGTTATCACCTTCGGAGCTTTCCTGGCACTAGTATGAAGACCGCAGTGATGCTGCTAACCCTACAACACACAAGACAGCCTTCCCACAATGAAGACTCATCAGCCCAAATGTCAGCCCTGAGATGTGCTGAGCTGCATTAATGGTCTCATCTACTTCCATGCTACAGCCTGCAGCACAATCACAGAACGCTTCGCTGAGGCTATTGTTTTGTTCTGATGTTACAAGCTGTAAATCTAATTTGCAACTGTAAGACCCTGGTTAAACAATACAATCTCAGGAAAAGTAGAGGTTAAACATATTTAAGGGAAAACTGATACAGAATGAAATATAAAAAGGAAATAAAATAGAAATCAAGTCAGAGCTATGGATGACCAAAATTTAAAGATCTTGATAGATTTCTAGGCCTCTCCAATTTATTAGTTTTAATTTGCAAAGTAAACAGTACGAAACAGGACTGAAAATTAAGGGGCAGTGCAGAGCTTCTTTCTATACTTAAGTCATATAAATACCTTTTCTCTAAAATAAATTTAAAGAAACAACTATATTTAATTCTATGCTCATATTACAACTTTCAACACAGTGTTTATTTCTGCTGACACATTAAGTCTTCTTTGGAAGGAGGTAGACATTAAACTATTTTTTCTTCCTGACATTTCATCAAGTAGTAATAATAAAAGAAAATTAAAAAGAAGCTTCATCCCAGTGGAAGTCTACTTTTCAAATCTATTAGTACTAAAAAACACTTTAAGAAATAAAACTATTTAGATATCCTTAATTCCAAATCAGATTGTTCCAGAGAAAGCAAATGTGCTACATCTGTTACTTCTTTATCTGTTAGTTTCTTGGAATTAAAAAAAAAAAAGTAACAAAATGATCTTCACATTAAAGTCTCAATATTGGCCTCTAAAAGTCAGTTTAAAATAAAAATTAAGTTTCACAAAATAAATACACTGAAGCAACTATAATAGCAATAACCTTTATTTAAAATACTTTTTAATCTAGGAAAGCTCATTTTACATGAGTTTCCAACTAATTATTAGAGTCAGAAACAAAGAAAATAAAACCAGAGAAAATCGTCTGTAGAAAAAATACACAAGGAACATTTCTACATGTCGAAAACCAGTAAGCAGTCTTAACATCTGCACAGCCAAGTCTTAGTCTCAATTCCATCTCTCCTAGTGAACACCACTATCAACCTTGAGATCTGATTTGTTCTTGTCATTCTTCACTGAGTAGATGAAATATGTTAAGGTGTCTTTTTCATTCACTGGAATAGACCTAAAGTGGCAACCAACTATCTATAAAGAAAAAAAAATTGAGGAAATTAAATTACAGATATTAACAGATTTTATAAACTAGGTAAAAAACTGTCATCAAAAGAAAAGGTGCTATGTGATAAGAGCTATTTCTTTTTAAAAATAAATTGTATTTAACAAAATACAGGATGAAAAGCATATTAAGAGTAAGATGTTATGAACAAGAGATAGTGTGATTTCAAAGGATCCCTTGGCCCACTCAATCAGCTATGTATTAATCAGAATGTGTATTTCCTTTTACTTATTTTATATTTTATAACTGAGATCTAGATTAGAAATTAAGTATTTTTACTTTAAAACTTCAAATATCGGGAAAATAAAACAAAATGTCAGA